ACCGAAACTAAAATAGCTCATTGATGATTCATTAAACAGTTGTCTTTACCACATCACCACTCCCCTGAAACTGTCTCATTTTTTGGTCCTCCTGACACTACTCTTAAATTGAACACTTAAACTAAAACTAAATGTTCATAAACAAAAAAATCATCTAGTCTTCCTCATCATCCTCATAACAATTCAGAAGCTTCGTCTAAGATAGAAGCATTGTTGATTCATCGGACCAATGTTGAAAATAGCGGTAACGCATAGCGTAACGCTTACCTCCGGTTAAGTTACAGTAGCGATAACGCATAGCGTAACGTAGGTTAAATAATTTATTGTTATTTAAATAATTTATAGATATATAACATTCAAAATAAAAAAATATGAATAATCATCGCAATTCTCAATTTCACAAATCAATATATCATCACAATTTCATAAATCAATATATTATCAAAATAAAAAAAAAAACATTTCATTCTCACTCTCATTTTACTTATCAATATTTCATAAATCAATATATCACAATTTCACAAATCAATAGCTACAGTATTTAATTTACATATACTTGCACCAAATTATAACCTAAATAGAGTTAATTTTTTACTATTAATTAACTTAATTTTACAGTAAAATAGTTACAGTAATTAAGATAACAAATTAAAAGTGGTCAACAGTTCCGCTCCAATTATTTATTACTGTAGCTAAAGGAAAAAAAGAACCGCTCCTTAGTTCCCACTTATTAATTTACCTACAGGGAAATGACAGCTGGAGAAAAAAACAAAGAAAAAAACAAAGGCTGATGGATTGACAGAAAAAACAAAATAAAAAGATAAAAGCTGGAAGCCTGGAACCTTCTCGTTGAGGAGAACAAAAAAGGAAGAGGAAACGAAAGAAAAAAAGAAAGAGAAAGGAAAAAATAAACTAACCTTGCGCTGTCGAGCCGAACTTCGTCGTCTTCATGGCCGATCGTCGTCGTCTTCGTGGCCGCCCGTGGAGCATGCAGACAACTTTCGGAGGAAAGGTAAGTGATCGACAAAACCTAGCTTGATTTACTTCTCTCTTTGTTTTTTTTTCCTTTTTGACTTTGGGTTCAAGCGTGGGAAGCGGTTTTGGACCCGAACCCTCTTTCTTGTGGACCTGGGCATGAGGCGATCACCTTGCGCCCTGAGAAACACCGATCACAGCCATTAATCAAATAACGTAGGTTTTCAAACGCTATGAAGAAACGCCATGTATCGTACGCTATGACCAAAATAGCGTACGTTATTTGGTATTTGCGCTATTTCAAAACGCCATGTAACGTTAACTCACCGCTACGTTACGTTAAACGCCATTTTACGCTACAAAACGCGCTATTTTCAACATTGCATCGGACATAGAAGCTTCGTTGAACTAAGGAAAGACGAAGGTTGAAGTCTTGTCGCAGCCGATGAGTTTGCACGTGAGAGAGAGAGAGAATCACGTTATTTGAGAAAAGATGAGGGCTAGGATTTTTTTACTTTTAGTTGGTTGCATCTGGTTTTGGGGTAAGGTTCAACCCGCAACCAAATTAGGAAAAAAACGCCCGCATAAACAAATTATGTGTGCGCTTCAGACGTGGCCAATTAAGCGAGTGTCTACATAATAGATCGCATAGCTCAAATCCTACTTTATTTTATCCCGCTTTCGCCTAAGCAGACAATTAAGTAGGCACTTAAACCTTTTTTAGAACACTGAAGTAGAGTAGTCGAAGCAATATGTATTGGCTTGTCGTGCTGCTGCTCATGTGTGACATCTAGTTGGTTCTCATGAATACGCATTGCCCTATTCGTGGTCTCTTTGTAGCAGGCTTCCCCAACATCACATTGTATCACACTTCTTTTCGCAATCCACTAACAAAACAACTACCAAGAATTATTCGGAAAAATCGTCAACAAGTTTAACAACTTCTCAAATTGAGTTTGGTATTCCTCTAACGACCCTGTTTTCTGCAACTTTGATAGGGCTCTCTTGTAATTAAGTAATTCGGAGGGCCCAAACCTAGTTAACAATGTCTTCTCATACTCTTCGCAAATAATTGGTCGTTCCTTACCCTTCTCGAGCCAACAAAACCATTGCAACGTTGTCGCATGGAGAAACAACGCGACATGTTGCTCTTTAGGTATGGAGTAGAAATCAAGCAACTGCCTTACCCGATAAATCTAGTCATGCACGTTCTCACTAGGTCTACATTTTGGAGGTGGCCTAACCGAAGGTGCTAAAGCATTGGCATGTGCAAACAACTTGTTGGGGATGGGTATTGTTGTCACACGTAGTTTGATGGGTGGAGAATGAGTGCATGTACACTACAGTAAATGAGGATGGAGAGTGAAGGATTGACTCTTGAATCGATTCCCTCGGTTTAGAGCGTTGTTTTCCCCGCTTGCTCCACTAAGCTACTGATTTGAGATGAGATGCCCAGCATTAGTTGCGATAAGCTCTCAATCCGACCGCCTTAAACCCTCAAGGTGGCTCCTAGCTGATCAACCGTACCCTTCAGCCTCTCCATCTTGCCATTGCTTGATTCACAGACCTCTGATTCTTTTTCGATAACCTGCTATGGCACCAAGTTGTCAGGGGCCGCCAAAATGTGACCATATCCTCTTCCACTCTAGCCATGGTTAGCGCACAAGAGTTGAGGAGCAGAAGATAATAGAGGGAGCAGAATTGGGAGAATAAGAAAAGAGGAAAGAGATAGATCAAAGGAGGAGGAGCTTAGATTAGATTAGAAACAGTAACACATTTGTACATAGTTCTATCATAATAGACACATGTATACATAGCATACTTCCTAACTACCTAGTACTCCCTAATTCTTCTCATAACTAACAACTTTCCACTACATTATCCATTTACCCAACTATACTTCCCTAGTTCCTGACAATGTTGAACCGCACAGTTCATAAACTTGTATTTTTATAGAGATAATTTTTAAGGTACATACCCTAAGTTAAATCATTTGTAATTCTATACGTTCTTTACGGACAATATCTGAGATTTGCAAAGCTAGAGTCTCAAAATATTCATCAAGATAATAGTCTGAGCGTATTCTCTTTTCATGTGTGATTATGCAATAGTCTGTAGACATCTGAATATGATTGTTCTTAATTGTTGAAAAAAACCTTTTTTTGTGCTTTCGGAAGGGTTCTGTCACCGAGGATAAATCCCATTCTCCCGACAAGTTTTCATGAACAGCTTCAATCATAAGTTGGAATGGTTTTCATGAACAGCCTCAATCAAATGTTGGAATGATAAGGTCAAACTTTTATGGGCGTAGGCAGGGCGTCTGTGAGGGTTCAGATCAGACTTCTGCATTTTTTCCTTCCAATTTTAAGAGGAATAAGTATGGTTTGTTCCCTCCATGTATCTGTATTGTGATTGCATACACAGTACACTCACAAGTAGGATAAGCCATTGGTTCAATCTATCTACTGTCCGATTCAAGACCTTTCCTTATTCAAAGGCATTCCAATTTTCTCAAAGAGCTTACATGGCCATTGCAAAAGCCATGCAAAAAAGTTTGCACCCAGTAGGACCTTGGATGGCTCCTAATTCTTTCCAGATATCACCTAATGATTTTTTCATGCAATCAACATTGATAAAAGCAAGGTTTTAAATATCGGATGTCGGGTTCATGTCGGATGGCTGAAATCCATATCGGATAGCAGAAATCGGGGATATATCTGGGGACATTGACTAAATATCGGATTGCCATATCGGGTAGTGCGCATATGTATAATATCATGTCCTAAATGTAATCTAAGCATTCATAAATTCAATATAAGCATACTTTATAAATTCTATAGACTAAACATATAAAAAGTAAATAATATATGGATTTGGGTTCATAAATTCTTTCTATCGGGTTCATAAGGAACCCTTAAACATGAGAACGGGTCAAACGGGTTTGGGCATTTATCACTAAACCCAAACCCGATAACAAAAAACAGATCTTAAAAAAAAGTATCATATCGGTCTATTTTTCAAAGCTAAAAAATAGGCCGATATGCCCGATATGATCCTGATATTTCCGATTTGGCCCTGAAAACCGATATACGAGTTGAAAATGTCCATGTCGTGTCGGTCAAGCCCTAAAACCGATATGTCGGCCGATATTTAAAACCTTGGATAAAAGTGGATGTGTTAACCATATTTGTCAGATAATATTTTGTTTGCTTTGCTGAAGAGTTATATTTTCGCAGATTTTACACAGTATCGTAGCAAATGATGTAATCTTTCACACCAATGTAGTGTGGAGATATTGCTGATATCAAAGACATTGTTTAAAATATGGCCCGCAAGTCTACCATGTCAGCCAAAATGTCATCTTGTAGACTTTGCCACAAGAAGAAAGGTTACACGACATTTATTGTTTCTGGAAAATTATCCCCGACATATTGGGTAACATTTGGGATTTTTCGGATATTTTGGGCAACAATTTGATGTTGAAGTATTGCCCTAGACTGTGCTATGTCGGATTTTGTGTTAAAATTTTCTTTAATGGTCATGTTGAGCCCTAAACCCAAACATGAACACACTTAATATACATCTCAATATTGGAGAATTAGAACTCAGTTGAGCCCCAATTTTTGCCTCACCTTTCTTGAATCCAGAGTCTCTTCATCGTTGACTGTGTTTCCCCGTAGATGAACCCCTTCCCATTCTCGACCTCTCTCCTTTCTCTTGGCTCCTGTTAGTTATATCTATCTCACTCTGTCTCCTAAACTTAAATTATTTGGCATGATTTGCTATTGTTTTATGTTTAGATCTTATTTTGGACATCCGTGATATGTATATAGACTATTATGACACTTCAGTGATTATTAAATGTCTCTAATATCTGCCATCTGATACTGCATTTTTCCATCTAGCATGACCCTGATATGCGACACCACTTGTCGAAGTCCTCTCTAGATTCATATCATGTGTGTTCAAGATACTTTTGCGATATTTTTTATCGAGAATGTTCATTGCCAATTTGGCTTATACAGGTTGATGAATGGTGGGAGCAACCTGCAGCGACGGCCGTAGATTGGGTCACTGTTGATGGTCAAAACGTCGGTGCGTGGCTCAATCATGTGAAGCAACTTCAGATGGCATTTTATGATCAACAGCTCTTATAAGTTATCCTGCACGATGCCATGTTCATGAAGTCAGCTACAGTGATGTGCTGTCGTAATATACACTGGTCATCATGATTGTTCTTGTTTTCTGCATTGGCATGTATTATGATCTCCGATCTCAGCCGGTCTCAGTTTCAGTGCCTGCATTTGAGAAGGCATCCTTTGAAGAGAAAAGTTCCTTTGTCTCGGCATGCTGGATTGGTTACATGATGTATAGTCATTGAGTGTGGAAAGGCGTGTCGATTTTGTTTCTTGTTAGTGTTGTCGTGCCTTTCTTCAAGTGAAGTGCTGTACATTCATAATTTCTTGGCTTGCAGATGATGTGTGTTCATACTGAACTTCAGTCCATCTCCCTGTTGATTGAGTTGTACGTTTACTGTGTTTGACATTGTTGTTTCCAGGTACACAGCTTGCTCTCTTATTAAAATTGAAGTTATTTGTGAGAATCATTACAGTAAAAGCAGCAAAAAAGAATTTTCGGGATGAAGTTCATATCGTCCCTTGCAGCTTTTGTTCTCTCCTCCGAATTGATTTGCCTTTTTATTCAGTGTATTTGATGAATCAGCATTCTTTGCTACTTGAATTTCCTTTTCTTCCTATATTTACAGGATAACTACTTGATACGTGAAACATGGTAGAGAATCAGAGCTGTAGTGGCTAGAGAATTTGCTTTCTAATATGGGGCCTCCTTAATTTCCTTTCCAAACAGCTAAAGGCTAATCATTTCTCAGTTCCCTTTGCATTCTTCCATCCGTCATAGTCGTGTAAAGCTAAGCTGTACAAAGACTGAAAGAAGTCAAGTTCAAGCCGCGCACTTCATAGGCTTACACGGTTGCAGAAGTATACAACAAGAAGTTATTTTAGAGAAGCGCTTGGTAGGTAGCTCATTAGAGCATAGTAGAATGCCCAAGATAAATCTGCTCAAATACAACTGCTCTGACTCATAGACCCGTTGTATCCCTGACAGCAGAGGTCAGAAATTAAAGGCACACGCAACGAGACGAGCACCACGAATGCCCAGCTCAATCGTAAATCGTACAGTTGGGGCGTGACAAGCCCCAGGATTATGACATTTTTTTATTACATAGAAGCAACACGAGAGAGAAAAAGAAAAATATTAAGAAATTAAGTAAGGGGAGGCAACAGCCCTGATTATTCAACCTTTCCACTTTATAATCATTCGAACAAATTTCTAGCTGGTGTTCAACACAAACTAACCGGGGCAAATTCATCACATCATTAATTACATTACACAATGAAATGAAGTTCTTCCGCACAAATGGAGCAGACAGAGATACCAAGCAAATACTGACTTAAAACAATACACACTATTGAGGCCTGTAATAGCCTTGGGGAGGATACGGTGATGGTACATTATATGGCGGTGGAGGATGTGAACCTGGCTGCTGCATCTGCTGCGGATTATAATATGGCCCTCGCCATCCAGGATAAGCTGGTTGCCCATACTCATGTCCATGAGCTTGCTGAGGATGTTGTTGATATGGATTATTTGCTGCTTGGTAAGGGGTTTGTTGTCCATAAGCTGGGGAATATGGCCTCAAATGCTCAGGCGAGTGACTATAGGGAGGCTGAGAATATGCAGGCCTCGGATGGTCTACAGGAGAGTGACTATATGGTGGCTGAGGTTGTGAAGGGGGCTGAGAAATATTTTGTAGACTAGAAGTTTGCGGAGATGAAGAATTTCGAGGTTGTTGGTTGGATTGCCCGGGAACAGGATAGTTGTAACCTGTCTTAACATTGGAAGAAAAGTTGAGGCCAGCCATTTGCCTTTGCACATCCTCAATCATTTCCCGGCATTGAATGTTCCTGGTCATCACAAAATCACTGCACTGCTGCTTTACATTTGTTATTGCATCCTGTTCAGAGGACAAAAATAAAAAATAAAAAATAAAAAATAAAAAATAAAAAAAGGAAAAAAGTTTAGACAGTGCAATATCAGTATAATTATATGCATTTTTTTTACCAAAAGGATTCTTCCATAGGAGCGGGGGCCTTAACAAGGCATCAAATAATAATAATAATAATAATAATAATAATAATATGCGGTATGTGATAATATGCATGTATCTCAAATATGAACTTCATGAGAAGATAAGCAGCAGTTTCAGGATATTGAGGTTAAGGTGCCAGGCGAGACTTGCCTGAAGAGTGACATAGAACTTCAATCCTTCATTGATATTTTCTTTGATCTCCCGATATTTTGCTATAGCAGCAGCAATCTGTTTGTAACATTTTTCTCTAGAAACTGAAAAAGGATATTCTAAAATCAATATAAAATGTCCATGATAGTAAAAACCAGATCACAACTTAAAATTATTAAAGAGAATAAACAATTTGTGATTGGGAGCTAGTAAAAATAACTGTTGATGGTAATACAAGCAATATAGCTTTGCCAATGAAACTAGAAAGGTTAAAAAGCATGGTGAAGATCACCAGCTATAATGTATAAGATCTAAGAGGGAAGAAAGCTTGAAAGATTGAAAACTTGAATGAATGAATAGGAGAATGGAAGACGACGCTGAGGTTAGCATTTCTACAAACTTGGAAACTATGGAAAAGAATGTAGCCATACAAAGCTTAAACAAGTCAATACTGGATGTTCACAAAGTTTTTGGAAGTGCTAATCTAAATATCTGATCAACCATACATCTTTCAAGATTAAAAGCATGTTTGACAAATGGTCAAAGTGGCTTATAAGACATTCTTGTGGCTTACAAGCCACCTTGAGATGTTTGGCAAGTGGCTTGTTTTGCCACCAAAAAATAAGCTATGATAACTTAGCCTAATTTTTGGTGGATTATAACTCATGAGGTTTGGCCAAAGACAATTATACCCCTCATGATTTCACAAAATACAAGCCATCATTTAATAACTAACCACCAACCTCGTGTTCTTTTTTGGTTACTTCGACAAATTTGATGGGTTATAATTCACTCATTTGCTAAACGCTCTACTATTGAAAATGGATAATAATCCACTAAATTTACCAAACACTCTAGGTTATAATATACTTGGATTATAATCAATTTGTGGATTGTAATCGAAGTGCATTACAATCCAAAGTTCCCAAACATGCTCTTAAGGTTCAACATAAGGCGGCAAGAAGCACAAAAAATAACTGAGGTCTCTTGCTCAATTCTCTTCCTATGAGACACAATTTGTTATCTAACAATTGCTTGCTATCAAGATGCTGAATACCCCAGATGTGGTCTTGCTGCATTGATGTGTAGGCAGAAATATAAATATCTTATGTAGATATTCTCTCTCTTCATTACTGAGAAAATATAGAATAATAAGACCATCAAGTCTGTAGTTGACAGTTATGTACACCAAGGTTAAGGCAAGCAGAACTTTTTCAAAACTGTTGAAACTATGGAACTGTATTTTGATTATTCTATCCATGATGTTGTGAAATTATTGCCAATGAGATGTCAATTGAAGCTCATTCGCTATGCTTCGCTCTCAGACAACAAATTTTAGTGCCTTATTGTACAAAACTTTCTTTAGACTTCAAATCTGGAAAGCATTCTCATCCTCCTGGCATTCAGTAAACATACACCATATATGTAAACAATAAATATGCAGGTTCTTTTTGAATACCAGTCAGAGTACGACCATGACAAGAATAAAATATACTTAGTTTCAGCACATAGTATTGTCTCTCACATTTCAAAATGACAGGTGATTCATAATTTTCACGGCACAATGACAAGATAATTTTTTTTAAATGCAAGCAATAAGAGGATGTTTGGATCACATAAATTGCGACTGCAAGTGTAATTTGCAAAAAGACAGTTGCATATAAAGCTCCAGCTATTTGTTTCATTGCAATTGCAGTATTTTCACAATTGCAATTGCAACTTCAATTTGTGTAAAAATTTCAGATAATTTGGTCTGTAAGTTATACTTTGCAAGAAGAGGCCCGGCCTGCCGCACTTGCAGCAAAAGAAAAGTTTGCAACTGTAGTCATCCTGTACTTTTGTAAATTGTAAAGACTGCAATTGCGATTTTGCATACTAAACAGCCCTAAAAATATGAAAAACGAAATGAGTTTTCACTCCTCTTGCCTGACATATGACTAAGAAGTTAGAACCTAGGAGCAAGACCTCAGGTGCAAAGGAAACTGGAAGGAGGATCACTACTGCAACAACATTGAACATTCCTAATTAAGCATGCCAAGAACAATGATACACGATGTATAAGTGCCCCCCCACCCCCCCACCCAAAAAAACAACCCCAAAAAAAAGAAAGAAACCCACCACCTAAAAAAACCAAAAAAACAAAAAAAGAAGAGGAAGATAGGACCTTAGATTAATAAGCCTTTTAAACTTTAAACTAATATGTTCAGATATATTGTTTAATTATTGCATTGTTAACGATTTATGTGCAGAATGTGATTGCATTAGATATTGATTGAACAGGTGCATTCAGTGAATGAGGAATAAGCTGGGAATGATGGTTTTGTTGCCCATCTCTTCTAAAATAAATTAATAAAATAAACAACTAGCAAAGGAAGACAAATGAGTATGAAAGGGAGAGTATAGGAAATGGAAGAACAGAATGAGCACGGAAAACACTTAATAAGTGCTTGGATATGGGGGGACGTGTGAAGGCTTGTTGTTTGTGATCTAAGGTAAGAGGTAATTTGCTGGAATTGTAAAATTCTGCAAAGTTTTAGTTCTAAAGTATATCGTTTGGAGATTTCATTCGAATAAGTCGGAGTCAAATCTTGAATTCTTCATGTGAAATTTTGACTAGGGATAATTTCACTTTAAGTTCGAGTAATCCAAGGGCCTAATGTCCACAAATGAAAGATCTAAAATTATCAATAAATATGGGTTTGATATATATAAATTGTGTTAATAACAACTTGTCTCTCCTCATTTAAATAACAAACAGAGAATTAAAAAAAGATAATGCATTTGTAAAGCTAGTCATGTGTTCTAAACAATGTAAATATACATTAAGTATTGTCCATTTCATTTAATTGTTATTGCTAGTAAATGAAATAATCAAAACGATACTATCATTGGAAAATAAGCAGAAAATGATAGCAAATAAACAAAGTAGTTATCCATGGACAATAGCTGCCATTAACTGATAACTAAGTCTAGATTTGCTTGATATAGAAGTTACAGTTTTGAAACCTAAGCCAGTTTTTCCCTAAAAGCAATAAAATTAAAAGAAACAATAAAAAACTAAACCATTTTGGTTCACAAGAAACAATGATGCATAAGAAAATAAATGTGATGAAGTTAATAACTGTTTCATACAATCTAATTAAACTTGAAATGAACTAATAGTTTTATGGGTAAATATGAATCTGCTTATCCACTTCCAGTGTTTTAAATTGCGGCCACCATGTCGGAGATGGCGAGTGACAAGTTGAATTTGGGGACTGACCGCAAGGATATCTCAACTTTCATCTCATATGGCGCTTTTGACCCAATATCGGAGATATGTCGGTGCATATTGGAAATTGCGGCTGAGATTGCGGCCTAAACAGTGGCCATTTTTTTATTGCAAATTTCAGCTTCGGGTTTCTATCACTACAACAAACCTTGTCGCATGCATATATAAACAAATTGTGCAAACAAAAGCTATTATTTTGTAATACATCATGCTTCTTTTGCTTTTAACGTTTAGAAGTTTTAGTTGAGCTTTTGCAGTTGAATTTCAAGAATGTTATTAACCCATAGTAAGATAGCTATTCTATAAAGAAGTGATTGTTAATTCTTCAACAATTAAAATAGAAGTTCAAATTGATGTTACTTGTAGTTGTCAGTCTCATAGATTACGTTTTAGAAAACTATAGTATATATCACATCATCCAATTTGGCACTTCGATATTTACTACATATCCTCGATATTCCCCGATTTCGGCAATCTGATATGGATTTTGACTTTCCGACATGCCCCCGACATCCGATATTTAAAACCTTGCCCACTTCAGCATAAACATAACCTTTAGGAGGAGACAACCTAGCTTGAAATTTTAAACAACTTATAACAAGAAGGGTGGAAAGGAATGTAAGAGAATGAGCACCTTTGTAATCCTCCAAATTAAATACTGAAGCAAATTCATCATTTTGTGCCTGTAGGAAACACAAATTAGTACATTAGTATCACGGAATTTCAGATTTAGCCCAGAGGGGTAAAAGGTATTCTTCAAAAGGCAGGAATGACAAGATATGTCCACGGTATAAGAATATTTCTGGCTCCAGATATAAATAAATATTATGCATGACTGAACTTTTCCCAGTTAGGACTGTGAAAAGTGTCTACTCATGTTCTTTAGAATACTTAGTGTCATAACTAATTTACATGGAAACTATATCTAGTCTTTGCAAGCAATGAGTTGTTTTCTCTTAAATTTCATGTCATTTTGATGAAAGTATAACATGTTTTATTCAATGAGACATCACTATGTTGTGTAAATCAAATAAATGATGTATCATATTGTTCTCAAATGTTAATTACCAAATATATTAAAATCCATAATTATTATTATGTGAAGTTTCATAGAGTCATTCCAAGTTTAAAAGGTTGGTTATAATGATTAATAGGTCAACTAACTTTATGATGGATAAAGATGCCAAGCTACGGAGAGGATTTTCATTTTTGTTATATCAGTTCAGAGATAAGCTGAAATCATCATGATGTGCTGCAATTCCTTCTGTCAGTTTCATTGTTGGTTCCAAATCAAACTGATTGTGCTCATCATGGGTTTGCAGGCATTAAGTTCACATAGAAATCAAGGTCCGTGGCTTTACCCCTTGGTTTGTGTCCAAAGCCAAAAATTGAGATCAAAGAACATTTTGTTCAAGTAAAAGGTATGCAATTGGTTTAGTTTGAGACAGCATGCTTTCAGGTAGATTTCAAGCTAGACTATTCGATTGACCTCATTTTTCTAAATAAAGCATTAAAAGAAGCACTCAGTCAGCATTCTCCTTACCAACTGTATGTGGCCTGCACATGAGAAGTATCATGAACTATCTATAACCTGCAAACCTTCAGGTTTTCTTTCACTTGAAACCTACATAAGTTTGTACCTAATGAGAATCAGTTGTTTTGCCAACTTGGAAAGATCAGTTTAGATGGGAATAACTGGGGAATTGGTTAGGAACTATCTCCTTTTAAAATAGAAAAATAGAACATTACTTTAAGTCTTATCCTATTCATGAACGGGAATTAACTCTCGAATCAGTATAGCTGCATTAATGAAAAGCCTTGGTCAGTGTTGAAAAAAGCCTCGCTTTTGGCTAGCCAAATAGCTAGAAAACGATAGTTTTAGTTTACTACAACCATCGGCAATATTGTTTTAATTCGGTGGAGAACAAATTCTTTTCCTCAGAATCTCTTGGGTGAAAATAGGGAACGAAGTAACTAGATTATACGAATTTGGTAGAATCCCCCTCTAGAGGAATCATCTAAAAAGCGAGTAGCTTTGAATGTATTCAACAAGAAAAGCTAACGCAGATGTTATGGATCTAATTTTTAGTACATCGATCTTCCATAAAAAAGCTGAATGAAATCAAATTTCCATAGCTTAAGCAGTTTTCAAAGCAGAAGCAGTGCCTCACCGCTCTGCTTTCATTGAAAGCGGCAATAAAAGTGGAAGTGGCGCTTCTTGCCCAAAAACGTGGTAGAAAGCTCGTAAAAGTGCTAAAAAGAGCTTAATAGTGCTTTAAAAAACAAATAATAGTTCATATTATACCTGAACTTGACACACTTTCATAGGGAAACTCTCCCGCTTCTCTCTCTTCCCTCTCCGCTTCTGCAACTCTAAACGAAAATAAACCCTAACCCTAACTTCTGCCCCAGCCGTCTTGTCCACTGCCTCCAGGCAACTCCTCTGTCTCCCACATCTAAATCCGCCTCCAAATCCTTCTCCAGCAATCTTCGCCTTCACCATCGCCATCATGGCATCACCAACTCTTGGGCTCCTCATTGAAGCTCAGAATTACCATCTCCAGTTGAAACTCACTATCACCATCTCCAGCTAAAGCTCACCATCACCATCTCCAGCTAAAGCTCACCATCACCATACAGTCGAAGCTCCTCCACCTCCTTCTCCAAGTGAAACACTTCCACCTCGCAATCTTCTCCTCCAACATATTTATACTTATTTAAATTGAATTACTTTTTTACTTGGCGTTTTTTGTCGTTAAACCCCCAAAGCCTAAACGGTGCCTCACTGCTTCGTTCCACTTTCTGTTTTCCACAACATTGGCCTTAATTTCATATCTTTTTTAAAAAAATGTGGAATAGTTATTTCAAAATGTCTATCTATCGAACATGTTTCCCACGTAATTGAAGCTTTTAATTTTCTAAATGCAAATTATTTTCTTCAACGTTAACAAGTCTTACTTTCACTACCTAAGCCATACCAGCATAAAAGAAAATCAGGTAATGGCATCCAAAATAAAACTTAATTAGCCCATCAAAAACTCCTAAAGAAGTTAGAGGTAACTCCTATTGAAAATGAAATGGTTAATCGAGATACTTTAGACGTGTGCTAGGTTGCATAGGTGCGGGTGCGGGTACGGGTATTGGTTAATTGAGATACTTGAAATGGCACAAGTTTTGGGAGTGCTTAAGCAAGCATGGGCTTGGTATTAAAAAAAAAGGCTAGCTTTTGACCACTTAAGCCATTTGCAAAGCGGAAGCAATGCCACACCGCTCCCTTTCATCAAAGCTGCCAATGAAAACTAATGTGCTGCTTTCTGCTCGAAACACGGCAAAAAACTTTTAAAAGCGCTTGAAAAAAACTAAACAAGGGTGTAAATTATACCCCGAACCCGACCCATTTTTAAGTAAAACCCTCCATTTCTCTCTCCTCTCCATTTCTGTGACTCGAGATGAAAATAAATCCTAACCCTAACTCCCACTCCAGTCATCTCATCCACTACCTCCGGCCAACTCTATCACCTCCCACCACCAAATCTGTGTCCAAAAACACCTCCAAATCCTTTAACAAGCTCCGCCTTCACCATCACCATCATGACATCACCTTCTCTTGAGCTTTGAAGCTCACCATCTGCATTTCTAATCAAAGCTCACCATCATCATCTCCATCTCCAATCAAAGCTCCTCCACCTCATTCTCTAGTCAAAGCCACTTCCCCCTCACAGTCCTCTCCTCCGACATATTAATACATATCTAAATTGGATCGTTTTTTTACTTAGTATTTTTTACCGTTACAGCCCCAAAAAGCGTGAGCAATGACTCCCTGCTTCGCTCCGCTTTCCACAACTTTGGCCACTTATAGCAGGTCACACCATGTCAATAATGGGTATCTCGCCCATTGAAACATAGTTAACATGTGATGAGAAGTAGGGTTACATGGATCGGAGCTAAACTTGATATCCAAATCTATCCCACAAGAACAGTGAGGATAGGATTTTGAATCTCCGCAAAAAAAATCCTACATCTCTCTTGGTGTCTCCCTTCAGCCTTTCTCTTCGCCACAAAGATGTAAATCTCACACCTTTAATTACGACAATAACAAGAGCTCCCCAACAGCCCCCACCCCACAAAAACCACGCACAAATCGAAGAAAATTTTGGAGCTTAAGCAACATGCCTGTGCCCCTTTTACTCAGCTTATTTAAAGCGTTAAGTTTGAGGTTCTCTTACCTAGTATATGCATGGTATTTATTATGTGCCCGCTCAATGAATCAAAATTTAAATTGCTTACAGAAACAAAATTCACAAAACGAGTGGAAATCAAGATATATTTAGAACTAGACAACAAAATTATAATAACTGGATAAAATTTTGCAGATGCCAAAGTGAGGATAGCAATATACGCTTACTTGAATTTGAAGCAATAGATTCTCCTGTGCCTCAATATTTTGGGCAATTTCTTCACAAATGTGGTCATACTTGGTAATCTCCTTCCTGAAAAGATCTTCTTGAGATCCCGTGCTCGCCATCAACTTCGGTAATATATCATCCTGCAAAAAAAAAATTACTAAGGAATAAAGGCTACTTACATATCTATTAAAGAATAATCTCAAGCAATGGGAAGGCTGAAATTTTAGGCAGGATTAACATTCAGTCAACTGAAAGCATGTATGTCCACACATGCAGGTGGGTGTGTCAAAAGCCCACCAAGACATATACAGTGTATTAACCAATTATGATCTAATATTCAGAGATTCATATTGAATATAATTTGAGCATTATATTCAATCAATAACTAGCTTGTGGCGCAGAATAATGAAATAACAAACAATGAATAATTTCAGAATAAAGAAATATGATATTTAAAAATAACATCAAATTGCAAATAGCATGCACCTTTCTCTTCATTTCTCTAAGCATATCTTCAAGGCCTGCCCGATGAGCACCAAGATTCTCCAGTTGCCTCTGCTTATATGTGTGCACATTAGATGATAAGCTACTTCATGAATAAAATAAGAAAAAATAACATCACCATGAAAAACTATAGGTGCTCATATTTCTGGTTAATAAAAGACATTATGCAATGTAGATAGTAACGATAAGCAGTTAAGGTTTCTACAAAAACATATTGCACATCACACCCTTTAAGTTCATATTTTTTGCATATGTTTATCCAAGACATGCAGAATGCTGCACAAGTTAGCCAGCAAGACTATCTACTACAACTGGTATGCTGTAGATGGTAAGCAACTTTATGAATAAAATAAGAAAACATAAGATCACCATGAAAAACTATAGATGCCCCTATTTTTCTGGTTAATAAAATAGCAAACAAACATTATGCAATGTAGATAGTAAGGACAAGCAGTTAAGATTTCTACAGTAACATATTGCACATCACACCCTTCAGTTCATACTTGCATATGTTTATCCAAGACATGCAGAATACTGCACAAGACAGTTAGCTGGCAAGACTAACAACTACAACTGGTATGCTGAAGTCTGTGCATGCAATAGCACTGAGTTTAAGATTATGCCAGTTCTTTCCTAAGCAACCTTAAACTAAATGGTTAACCCTCACAATACCCATGTATGATTAACTGAACAATAATTTGACTTCATTATCCAAATAGGTAAGCCTTCCATTATAAGTAATATTTTTCAACTCTTTTATCCGAATGACTAGCCGTGTTACTGTAAAAAGAAACTTTCAGAGTAATTACCGACTTGGTATTACTTGCAGGATCCCTCACAAGTAATCTACATACAGTCTTTTCTCCAATTATAGTAATCTGTTATCTTATGAAGTAACACTACTTCTCTAAAGAAAGAGAAAGGACTGCCTGATGTCTGAGGATCCTGCTACAACAGGGTCTGGGAAGAGTCAGACTCGCATACCGATACCCTCATGTTGTGGGGAGGCTGTTCTGGCCACTGGAATTGGACCTGCATAGTGCACAATGGTGCAACGTTACTGCTGCACCAAGGTTACCTTGTCTTTTAGTGGCGTAACAGCTGTGTAACTGCTCGGTAACTTTTCAGGGGTAACCTCATCTCAGGTGTTGAACTTTGTAAACTATTTTTGGAATTCTTTTTTTACCAACTCTTCATCTATTAGTAGACTTTTTCTGTAGCATGAATAAGATGGCACAATTCATGCATTTTATCCATAAAAATATGAGATTATACTGCAATACCAACAGAATATTTTACAGAGCTACGTATTGGCCTGAATTGCAGATATTTATCTGAATCAACCACAAAACCAAAAAGGCATCCAGATTTAGCTACAAGTTGGTCTTTGGCTCAAAACCACCTGAACCAAAACATTAAACCAACCCAATCCATCAAAGTGCAAGAACACAATGAAAAAGAGGTCTAAAGTGCCCTAGTGAGAGATATCTACATTCTATCTGCAGTGCCCCTAGTGAGACATCTACATTCTACAATGATGCTGATACGTAACTGAACATGACATGTCAACAGAGGATGGGGTCAACTTGGGGTCCATGTAAGGAATAAGGATCTGTTATCTAAGGAAGTAACACTACAACTCTTTTTCTATCTTTCCCTGTCACAGAGACATACCACGTGCTCACAAGCACCTGCATGCATACGTATACAAGTTTGACTTATTTACCATTGTGCCTTCTAGTTTTGAAACATTTGTCAAGTAGATCAAACAGGACTGGAATAGGTTAGGGAGAGGGAGAGAGTATGGAATAGATGAGCAGTCGCCAACCAATATCTTTCTTTAGCGTGTCTTAAATCTTTTCCTGCCAAGCTTCTTTTCCTCTGCCTTTGTAGATGGGAGATAATCATGGTCATGAAATCTTTTATTTTTTAAGAAAAGAAAAATTATTTTAATGACCATGATTCTCTCCCATCTACAAAGGCAGTGGAAAAGAAGATTGGCAGGAAAAGATTAAGACATATTAAAGAAATATATTGGTAGGTGACTGCTCATCAAATCCATAACCTTTTTTCTTTTTTTCTTTTTTTTTTGGGTCAATTATTCCATAGTGGAAACAGGCGCTATTGAATTTTCAGAACAGGTTCATGCAAGGAAGGGGTATATGCTGGTGGTAAGGTTAAGGGAGGTTATGGGTTGGTGTAATTTTAGGGTAAGTGAGATAATTTTTGGGACTTTACTTTATGGTGTTATTCATTGGAACAATGAGATTGAGATTTCACTTTAAAGTGTTATTCATTGGGATAATGAGATTGGAACAATTACCTCCACCTTTTCCCAAAATTATCCTATTTCTATACAAATTTTTTGTCCCAAGCTCCAAAAATTACCCTAATATTAACTTTGGGACAATCATGAGAAAAATGAGATAATTTTGAAGCACTAATTTATTAAATATCTAATTTATGTATTATAATATATAATATATCTTAATTATATTATATTATAAAATTCTATTATAACGTAAGATAATAAAATATTATATAATATTATCTAGTATAATATTATTATATATCATTATTACATATTGGTTAATAATATTTCATATATTATAATATTAGTATTATATTATTATAATATTACTTTATATTATTTAGTATATATTTTATTAGTTAGAATAAAAATATTATTGTAGTATTTTTATGATATAAAATATTGTATTATAATATAGTGTTTATATATTTAATATAATAATATATTAATTATATTATAATATAATTTATTATATAATAATTTACTATTTTCTATTATACTTTATTATATTAATTAATAGTCTTAATATTATTTTGTCAATATTGTGGTAGTTATTATATTAAATAATATTTTTTACTAAAATAAATTATAATAAATTACATATATTTAAAGTATGATAATATATATAAAATTAATATAATATTAATTATTTAATAATAGTTTTTTATTAATAATAATTGAAACATATTAATAGTAATGGTTATTATAATATTATATATTTAATAAGGAGCCATGTATCAATTATTGTATTTAAAATTTTAAATTATAGTAACTTTAATAAATAAAATAAATTATTTATTTTTAATAATAATATATATTTTAATAATATTATATTGAATTAAACAAAATATTATAATATTTGATTAAAATTATATTAAATATATTGTTTGTATATTATATTAATTATTATATAATATATCATATTATTATAATATATTATATTATATTAATTAATAACATTAAATATAGTTATAATTAATTAGTAATCATATATAATATATTATAGTATAGTATAAAGTAAAATAATGTATTATATTATAATAACATACTAAACCAATTAGGTGAATTAGTTTAGATTTAATTTATAGATAAATATTATACTTTAATAAGGTGTCACATCATCAATTATCCCATAGAAAGTATCAAATCAAAGCTTCAAATTGCCCATTATCCTAAATTGTCTCACTTTACACCACTGAAAATATCCCAACGGGATAAATTTGTTCCATTGGAACAATTATCCCACTTAGCCCCAACTTGTCCCAACCAATACCCCCCCCCCCTCGAAAA